TTCTCGCACAGACGAACAAGACGATTAGATTTTCGCCTGCCCAATAATGGTATTTAAACTCTTGTTTCTACTTTCACTCGTTCTTGGATCAGTGTTTCTCGACGCCATTGGTTTATGAGAACGAAGATGAAATTTCATCACTGGATAAGCTTGAATGGGGTTTTGCAGAACGTAGTTTTTTTATCAGAGCTGTTTATCGCAGTAAATATCTGAAACGGAGAATTATGTACAGCTATGGTCATCCTGGATCATTCAACCCTGCTGTTATAACGAACAAAGAAGCGCATATGATTTATGGTAACATGAACAAGGAAGCTGGCTCCTCACAAGCTACTGGTCTTGTCAAGAAGAAAAGGTCCAAAATTTCCGACTTTTTTCCAAAACTGAACAGCGCTTTTTTGAAGGTTAGTTTAGGCTTTCGATGCTTTATTTAACTTATGCTTAAATGAAAGCCTACTACTATGTCTGTGCATCACATGTCATATATATGATCATTCTTTTTGTTTAGTTCAATTCTTTTTTTTTAGAGCCTGCATGCAAAAAATCTTGCCAAGCAATTGCAGATAAGTTAACTGATATTTAAGCTAAGAACTCCACTGCTGAACCACCACATAACCCCATGGTCCCCACCTAGCCACTAGAGGCAGAACATTCTGCATCACCGAGTCAGTCTTCAATAGACATTCATCTCCATGTAATAGAACCGTTTCAACCAACAAACTTTACTTTTCCCAAGAAAACATTTGGCAAACAGTATCGCTCATTTCAAGCAAAATGGTTCACTGACTTTCCCTGGCTTCATTATAATGAGCAAAGCGACTCTGTGGTGTGTTTCATTTGCGTCCAACAGAATGAGAAATTGAATCTGCGCGCTGCTAGAAATAAAGAATGGGTTTTCATTTCGCACAGATTTTCCAGCTGGAAGAAGGCTTTGGTACGATTCAAGGAACATCAACTTTCTGAGTGCCACAAGTTGGCCATGAAGTTTCAAATAAGCATTCCTAATAGTTGAGGAAATATCATCCAAATGTCCAACGATGCAGCCAAAAAAACTATGGAGACTAACCGGTTGTCTGCTCAAAATTATAGAATGTTTGCAGTACCTTGCTCGACAAGCAATGCCCATGCAAGGAGACACCGACGAAGAATTCAACTTAACTCAGCTGCTCAAACTAAGAGGGAAGGATCAACCTGTCTTGTTCAAATGGCTAGAGAGGAAGGAAGATAAGTACACTTCACACGAGATTCAAAACGAAATTATTTCTATCATGGCAAATAATGTCATCCGCAATTTAGTAGCAGATATCCGTGGTGGATTTTTCGCACTTATCGCTGACGAATACACGGATACAAGTAACAAAGAACAGTTAATAATATGTATCCGATGGATTGATAAACACCTGGAGGTCTCTGAAGATTTTCTTGGTTTTTTTAACATACCTGATACAGGTGCAGAAACGATTGTGTCGGTGATTAAAGATGTGTTACTAAAGCTACAATTATCATTAGCTTACTGTAGAGGACAGTGTTACGACGGCGCAAGTAACATGCTTGGACATAAAACTGGCGTAGCTAAGAGAATCCAGGAAGTTCAGCCCAAGGCTCATGCCACTCACTGTCATGGACATTCATTAAGTTTGAGTGTAAAGGACACAGTAAAAAACTGTAAGTTGCTCCTAAATACAATGGACACAGCAAAAGAAGTCGTAACCCTCATAAAATTTTCTCCAAAACGGGAGACATAAAGGAAAACCTTGATGAACAACCTGCAACCGGAGGTGTCATAAGCCTTTGTCCTACAAGATGGACAGTGCGAGCAAGCTGCTTTCATCGCATCATAGATAATTACTCAGCTCTTCTTCAGGAGTGGATTGTGTGTCTTGACCAAAAGCTACAGGCAGATGTACGTGGCAGGATTATTGGATGTCAAGCCCAAATGAATACCTTTGACTTCTTCTTTGGGCTACATTTGGGTGAGCGGCTGTTCTCGCATACAGATAACCTATCCAAAACATTACAAAAGACAAGGATGTCCGCTGTTAGTGGACAATGAGTCGACAATCTTACAAAACAGGTCCTGCAGAAGATGCGGAATAACGAGTGCTTCAAATCATTCTATGACACAATTGTAACCAAGAGTAAAAAGCATCCTTCCATCTCGGAACCAGCCTTACCTAGGCAAAAACGAGCACCTAGCAGGTTTGAAATTGGAACAGGGCCCCCATGGTATCCAACAACACCACAGGAGCATTACAGACGCATATACTTTGAGGCGATTGACCTAATGGTCAACGCAATTGATAACCGTTTTAACCAAGCAAGTTTCGACGTGTATGCAAAGATGGAGTCTCTTTTAGTTAAGTGCCTTAATTGCCAGGATTATTCGACGGAGTTGCATTTTCTTGGAACAAATTACGGAGAGGATGTTGATATTACAACATTGAATGTTCAACTGGAAATATTTAAAGTGTTGATGAAGGACGGAGAATTTACCTGTTTTGATGACATTTTAGCCAAGATCAAGCAGCTTTCTGAAGCCGAAAAGTGTATGATAACTGAAATCATAAACCTTCATAAACTTCTTCCTGTAAATCCAGCAACCATTGCAGCAGGCGAGAGATCCTTTTCTTCTGCTCGGAGACTGAAGACGTGGCTGCGCTCGACGATGACACAAACAAGATTTAGCAATCTGACAATACTTAATACCCACAAGCAGAGAACAGACAAACTTTGCCTTATAGATGTTGCCAATGAGTTTGCAGCTCTCAATGAAAATCGAAAAAGCAACTTTGGCACCTTCAAAGAATCCGACTTAAAAATGTCCGGGTGACACTCATCCGTTGCGTCTGTTGGGTTTAGCTTAGAAGTTAGTCTATAAATTTAAATTTGGTCAAACGTGAAGGCCAGTTTGTTACTCGTTGTTTTATAAGAATTAAAAATTAACTTCACTTTTGGCAGTTTTAGATCCATTTCAAGCCATTTCAGAAGACTTCAATTTCAAATTTTCCCGGGGGAACATGCCCCCGGACCCCCCTAGTTGGCTCACGCTAACGCGTTCGCATTAGCCCCCCCCCCCTCCCCACTTGAAAATCCGCTCCGCGAGCCCTGATAAAGTGAGGTGTTCTTAATTGATCCAACTAATATAGCTAAAAAGTAGGTGCCATAGAAAAGGTAAATACAGAAAAAAACTTTGCGGCCCGACTTTTACTAAAACTTTATAACTCCGTGAACTTACCTAACTTTCGGCAATCTCCAAGGTTGGCCGCCATTTTGAGGGACTTGTCAACATGAAGCCTAGCAGATATAAATCAAGCAGGTAGATCTAAATCCGTCAGAAATACACACGAAAGCATTCAAATGAACTTCACTTTCAATTCGAGGGGCAAAATTTGAAATTGTTCGTTAAACCTACCATTCCTACATCCCCATGCGACCATTTCTTCCAACAATTCAAACACTACAACTAGTACTCGACTTCCCCTCGTCGATTCCACCATAAGAAATAACCTGTTCCACCCAATGTGAAGTACGAATCAAATAACATAACTGCTTCATCTTCGAGGCCATATCACGCTGGATTTTGATTTTCTGATCGACAAGAACGGTGATCAGGAAGTGATCGCCATGTTTACCTCATAAACGTGACCGCAGACCAGCCGCTGAGTGAAAACAGTACAGCGCGGAGTAGGGTGGGGTGGGTGGCGGGCTTATCGTCATAAGATATAAAAAGCTTTAGGACTCTCAGTCTAAACAGTGAAGGCATGCTTCGTGGTACAGACAACTTTTATTTTATTCTCATAACTTTTTTCTTTAACTTAGAACTGGTGTTAATTAATAGAGTTATTTAAATATTTTTACCCGAGGTACCCATATGACCTTTTTGCTTGTCATCAGTGGTATAAAATAAGGTGTCTTTTCCTCCAGAACCTTTTATTCACGCCTTATTGCACGGAATGGACACTATACTTAGAATGTTTGCTCTAAATCATTTTCGCTGTTCCCAACAATGTATGCAAAATCATTGCTTTATACAAAGCTGACTCTAAAATATGATTTTCCGTAACAGTGACCAATGTCATTTACGTAAGGTGTTAACAAAACTAGCAATGTACATTTTTTAGCGTTTTCCACTTATAAGCCTGACATACAATTGTTAAGTGAACTATGTTAGTTTCAGCTCATTCCTTGATTCGATGTGACCTTTTATCACTAAACCCTACTCTCTTCATTTGCAATTTTCCTGTACATTTTTTTCATACGACAACGACAAAGAGTTTTATAAGTAAACCGATTTTTTGGTCTACAACGGTTATTACATTGTATATACAAATACATGCAAAAGGCCGGCTAAATAAGCTCCTCCCCTTGCTCCTAATTTTTTGGTTGCTTTCGTCCCATGTCTCCGCACGACCCCATGTTCAACAAGGGCCATTGCGTCACTGCTTGATGGTGTAATTATCCTTCCACTGAGCACTGGCATTCATTGGTCATTTCCTTTATTTTTGACATTAGAACACCTTTGGAATCTCTAGATTTAAGCTGGGTTAAAAATTCTCATCCCTTACCCTTTCAGAAGACGACAGTACTAATGTTATCTAGAGAGAGGGTAGCGAACCTTTCCAGTCGAATTTAAGTGAAGGATGGGCACTTCATAAGCCAAAAGGTGGCGCTGTTCGCTTCTAAGAGAAGTAAGGCAGTATCTCACCTCCAAGTTTGAAATTGGTGAACAATCTGGAAGGAAAGAGGATCTGCTACAAGTCTCGGAGATATGAGGAAAGGGAAGGGGGAAAACGGGAAGCGCCTGTTTTCCCGGGAAGAGTGGCTAACCAAAGCCCAAATACAAGGATTTTTCTCCCGTTTGTCCTCCTCAAGAAGGAGACAAGCAGGTCCGTCTCCGAGCACCGCGGTTGAAGTGAGTCACATGACTACCGTCCAATCAGTTGTAACAGAAATTGGCCTAACCCATCTGATTGTCTAAGATATTAAAATAATGACTTGTGTGACTACGTCAAGGAGGAAAAATTAGAACTATTTTACTGTTTCCATGCTTAAGGAAATCTGTACTTTCTTCGAGTTCCCATTTAAATCTACCTGCTCGACTTATGTCTGCTATGCTTCACGTTGACAAGTCCCTCAGAATGGCGGCCAAACTTGGAGATTAACGAAAATTAGGTAAGTTCAAGGAGTTATAAAGTTTTAGTTAAGGTCGGGCCGCGAAGTTGTTTTCTGTATTTACCTTTTCTGTGGCACCTACTTCCTAGCTATATTAGTTGGATTAATTAAGAACACCTCACTTTTTCAAAAATTTACCTTGAATATGATCGGTTTTCACGTGTTTGACTTAAGCGAACCGATAAGGTGTCGTTCAAGTCTTCCTGTTTGCTTGATTGAAACGTGATGTTCACGAAAGTCGCCTCGATGGATAAGATAGAGTTAATATACATGGCTGTGGTATTTGTTTTTTGCCGAGTCCCGTAGTGTTTTGTAAATTGTCCTCCAAAGTTGTCTCAAATTAAAATCTTGAAAAGTGTCACGACAGGCCTTCGCTCGAGTGAACTTTAATTTACGTAAAACTCTGAAAAATAAAGAGATCCGATCAAATGGATTGTGGTTTTAGTATAGGCACATGAATATCTTACAACACACATGAAATGAGCTAAATCTGTGTCTCAAGCAAAATCGACCGGACCGCTCTCACAGAGACACTCTCTTTAACGTCCAGTTTAGGAGCAGTGGCAAACGAAAACTGAGCTGAAAATTTAGAAATTGACCGTTATTGCGGGTTTAAATAGAAAAGAAGACACTTTTGACAGTTTGTAGAATCCTTTATCAACAGAACTGTTTGCTTGCCGAAACAAAAGTTCAACGCTTCCCGATATTTACTGTTTTCAAAGATGAACTTGAAGCAAGAAAATCGCTCAAAGCTTTCTTTCTACAGCCAAAATTATAACTAAATACTCTTTAGAACGTTTTTTCTTTCTGTTTGCAGTGAGAAAATATCGACTAAAGGCTTTTTAAAGTTCTGTAAGCTTAAATGAAACCTCATACTAGGTCAGATTATTGTCTTAAATCTTAATACAAACGTGCATAAACTAGCCTCATAGACTATGCTCGACTTCACGAAATTAGATATTAAAAAAAAAAAACACCAAATTAATACAATCATTACTCAGGCTTACCATTCGAGATGCAGTTCCTGAAAGCTATCAAGTAAGGCCAGAATCGCTTGAGACTCTTCAACCCACAAACAGCAAAGTGAAAAACGAGAACGATGCGATCCGAAATCAGATTTCCGACTTTGACAAGCGACGCATTTCTCAACCAAAAATTCAATAAACAAACCAACCATGAATAACAGAAGACTGTTGATAGCAGCTGGGTTTCATTTTATGCATCCAGTAGAAAAAGACAGTTAAAACATCACAAGTTGACAAAAAACTCTGTCAGCTTCAGCTGTCAAAGTAAACAAGTTTCAAGATCCTGTATAAATTTTCCGCATGAACTCACCTGTCAAAGTTTGACCAATCAGAGCATAAAAATTGGACGTAGGTGAGAAAAGTGAAAAGCATCTGTCTTCCCTGCTTATATTTTTAAATAACTGGCTGAATTTTCGCGTCCGAGATCAGTTTGAAATCAAAATGTTAATAGCGCGGGGCCATAGTGACATACACCAAATGCAAGTATGGCGGACCTCTCGGCCGGCCTGGGTCTAGTTGCGCGAAAGCGAGGCTAGTGAGGCCACAAGAGTTTTGTTTTGACTGCGTTTCTTAGCGATTCAGTCGATCGATTATGGTTTGCTTCGAGTTGTTGTATGCCTGAGGGCCACCAAAAAGAAGATTTTACTCTAGCTGGAATAGCCTTTACTTTCCCGAGATCTTTTCACAAAGAAAGTTAAGGATTCATGCGATTCGGCGCGGCAATGGGAAGCACTTTACAGCGAAAGCGTTCTCGCTTCACTTGCTTCAGATGAGAGGACTCACGAAAGTATTTGAATGGAATATCTTTCACAAGAGATGGTGCTGTTCCAAGATGTTTGCATGGTCTGTTATTTATCCAACAAAAGGTAAAAAGATAAACATTCTCGGGAACGGGAGCATCCGCTGTGGACTGTAAGATCTTTTAGATTTCATGCTGAAAACAGCTGCTTTAAAATATAACAACAACAATAACAATCGCCTGTTAATCCTACAAGCGTGGCCTGTGAAACTATGTAAGAACCAGAAGAAAGCGACATATTTCAACAACAGTCCTTGACCAAAGTACACTGAAAAAACCGGACAGAGGAGCCGTTGCCAACTAAGAAGGTAAGAAGAAGGAAGAAGGTTCTGGCAGAGAAAGAGCGTGCAAGTATTTGAGTATTGTGTTTGGCCTTGCGCGTGATCTATTTTAGCAACTTGTCGAATGGTTTAGAGATAAACTAACACCGATTTTCCAAAAATTGCTTCTTTTATGGCACTGCTCATACTCTTGAACACAGGATCGTGAAGACTGTGAAAACATTCGGCCTTGTTGTCTGTCTTGTGTCCCTGAGAGCGCCTAAAGATTGGTAAGTCGCGACGGCGGAATCACTCGTTCTCGAGGATATTTACCTTTCCTTGGTAAGAGAACGGACAAAGCAAACTTAAAAGAGAACCATGAATCTTTCAGTTATATACCCATTCTAGTAGTTTCGTGAGTCTTCTCTTCTGAAGTGAAGCGAGCACACTTTCGTTCTTTTAAGTCCGTGATATAAAAGTGCCTCCATTCGCCGCGCCGAATCGCTTGAATCCATTTCTTTATTCGTAAAGAACCTTGGCAAACCGAAGATAATCAACTTTCGTCTCTGCTGGAGTTAAATCTCCTCTTTGATGGCTCTTAAGTGCAGTCAAAACAAAACTCTCGAGGCCTCACTAGCCTCACTTCCGCGCAACTAGACCCAGGCCGACCGAGAGATCCACCATATTTGCATTCGGTGTATAAACACAACACCTTCTGTCATCATATCATTATTTTGCTGCAGTTCTCTTTGCCTTTATATTTCTCTTTCGTGTTGCCTTTGTCTATTCATTCTAGCTCTGTCTCGATCTGCTTGCCAGCGTTCTTCACCATAATTTTCTCTCCTTCTTCTAGCCCTGACTCGTTCTGCTTGCTGGCATTCTTCGCTGAAATTTTCTCCATTTGTTCTTGCCCTGTCTCCTTCTACTTGCCGACTGTCTTTGCTAAAATGTTGTCTTCTCCAGCTACTTCTAATGCAATCTCTTTGGTGATCGTCTTCGCTTGCTCTACGTTGCCCGGTTAGCTCAATGGGATAAGCGCCGGTTTGTTGAGCGGGAGGCCATAGGTTCAAACCCCGGCCGGACCAACACTCAGGGTCTTTAAATAACTGAGGAGAAAGTGCTGCCTTTGAAATAACATCTGCAAACGGTTTGACTTTCTAGTCTTCTCGGATAAGGAGGATAAACCGTGGGCCCCGTCTCACAAGCCCTTGCACGTGTAATAAAAAAGCTGTGGGACGTTAAAGAACCCACACACTCTTCTTAAAGGGTAGGGCACGTAGTGCCCATTCTAGTGGTCTATCTCACTTTCACACTCATGTATGGGGGTATCATTACTCATTCCTTCATTACTTGTAAACTTGCACCTTTAGCAGTCTCGCAAACTCCCCCAACCAGTGTTGTAAATTATCCCTGAAAAGACCTGAGGGGAGTGGATAATATGATATTTACACTTTACATTTACAGCCTGTTGACTCTTGTCTCTGCCGTTCACTTTCTCTTTGCTCTCTGCTTAAAACCTGTCGTCTACACGCTAAAATCTCTCTGCTCTTGTTTGTTGACACAATAGCTTTCGTAACTTGTAATAAAAAGTGATACAGTCAGGCTCTGTCGAAAAATCTTTTTGCTAAGTTGCTTTGAAATTTCTTTTTGAAAACCAGTTGCGTGATAATATAATTGCGCGACGTTGCGCCATGTGATTTCCCGCAAAAAAGATCTCTTTCCCCTACCCCAAAAGTCCGTGCGGACTAGTTTCCACCACCCAGAGAGTCCGTACGGTCGTACGTACGGACGGACGTACGGTGACATCATAACCAAATTTTCTCGGATGGATAGTTTACCAAACTTTCTTACCCATGGTGCTCCACTGCGCGCTTCCCGCACGCGAGAGCTCCGCTAATAATAATAATGACTTTATTTTAGTGTCGATGTATTAAGCTTAACAGTTAGCTAATTGGGGACACTACAAACTATGTCTGAGAAGCGACATAAAATCAATAAATTTGCGAATTACCAAAATATAATTATGAGAAACAGTCCTACCTTGGACTGCCATGTTTTTTGTTCCTTCTGAAAACCGTTGATCTATGGTTTTGACGTAATGCACATGATCAATACGCAAATCCGGTGGCAAGACCTTTGCTGATCGCTTTGGAAGTTGTGAGAACATCGTTTGGATTTCATTTAAGAGAATGTATGGGATGTAGTCCCCCCCCTCCCCCACCCAACTCAATCATCGATTTTCACATGTGCCTAATTTAATTCGGGAGATAACTGCTTTGAGATGGGAATCAACTAAATTCGATAGTTTCAAATTAAATACGACTTTGTCGAATCTGCGACTGAAAGAGTCGAAAATTCCACTTACCGGTAGGTTCAACATTTGATTTAGAAGTCGCATTTCACATGTGCTGAATATAATGCATTAATTATAGAGGCCCTTTTCCATATTGGATAAAAAATGTTACTAGAGACTGGGAATATTTACCAAACACAGAGTTAAATTCGGCACCATCATATCCGACGTCTGAATCCACTGCCGTATTTAATTACTTTCATCGACTAAAATAGGTATTCGGCACTCATAAGAAATTCAACGTTCGGAAGAGGCGTAACATGACATAAGTTTTAGCTTCGTGGTTTCCAGGCTGTTATAAAGTTGTTGTTTTCTTTCCAGTAACAGCAATTCGTACCTCTCTTTGTAAATCCATTTTGTTAATCACCTTGTGCCCCGACTTAGTGTGCCGCGACAGCTGTAATAGTCGGTTTTACTTTCTTTTTGGCATCATTTTTATGTTACTAGACGTGATTTGTGTATCAAAAAGAGTGATTACTTTAAGGTTTAAACTCGAAGCTTTATATAGTGTAAAATAATTATAACTTACTTTTACCAGTAAACTTGTAACAATAATAACAACAACAACAACAATAATACTAACAACCCTTTAGGAGTAATACGGTTTTTAATTGAACTAGACAGATTCAATAGTAACCAAAATATACCTGGTGACTGCCTCATCTCCAACAAACAAAACACATTTTTGTGATTTAGAAGCCAAAGAAACTGTCTGACAGTTAAGACCGACCTAAGTATTAAACAGATACAAGTGAGTAAGAAACTGTCAATATAGAAATATAAGGAATTTGTGTGTTCCACCGTTTCTTAGCATTATATGTTTTGATTACCGGAATGTTGAGAACATTGATAGTGAATAAGAAAGCTGAAACTCAATTATTTCTGGACCCACCCAACGCATTTCATGGTTTCTCGTCAACCCCCTTAAACTGATGCTAAAAAATGTCCCAGACCATTTAGAAAACTGAACAGTCTCGAACTCATTAGATGTATCCAAGCTGGCGATCTTACCACAAACGAAGCGTTACCATATCCATGAAGCCTCGATGTGGTATCCTTATACACCACAATACCTATACAAGAAGCCATCACCAACGCTACAGATAGAATCCAGAACCAAATAGTACTCCACCTCTCCAGACAAAACGTCTCACACCTCCTCCACGTCACGCAAAACAAAAACATGTACTTCTCCTTCAGAAATCAAGTTTTTCATCATAGAGAGGACCTACCCATGGGTTCTAGCATTTCAGGCATACTGGCCATCCTGTTCATGGACAAACTAGATACCATCAACCTCTCCTCGCACCTAATGATAAGCCCTTACAAGAGATATGTTGACGACATTTATCTCGAAACAACTAATGAAGAAACAGCAGACATATAATAAACAATGTGCACCCTAATTTGAAATTTGAAATTGAAAAACCAGAAACAACACCGAGTGGCCTGTCATTGTCATTACTCGATTTCAAAGTCACCATATCCAAGGATGGCAACAGCTCTTTTGAATTCTACGAAAAGCCAGCCAAGAAACCACTATTTGTCAACCATCAATCAACTATTCCCACCAAATCCAAACTCAACTTCATTCGCAATGAACGAAAACGCATCGAGGACTGATGCTCCTCACATATATCTGCAGCACAACACCTAAACACATTTGATGACATCCTTCACCTTAATGGTTATCCCGAGAACAGTATAGAGCAGACAAAACGCCCCTAAAAAACCCAACGAAACCCTCAACCTGCCAAAACAGAATCGTCATACCTTAAGATCCCGTACATTTCTGAACGACTCAATCACAGGATCACTAACATTTTTAGAAAAGAAAACATCCCGCTACGCATTGCCCACAAATCCTACACGCTCAAACAAGCCCAATCCCACACCTCCACGGAGCGCAAATACACTAGAGACAAATGCCCTATCTCTAATGCCGGATTGTGTTTAAGAAGAAATGCAGTGTACCAGCTCATGTATAACAGCTGCGATCAGCAATATATTGGTAGCATGACACGTTTCATCCACAACCGCGTAAAAGAACATCTCAATAATGAAAACTCCTCTGTGAAAAAACATATCTATTCCTACCAGAACAAAGACTATAAAGGCATTGAGGTCAAGATTATTATGAGCGAGAACGACCCCGCTAATCTACGCTTTATGAAGCATTTTACATTAGAAAGTTCAAGCCTACACTCAATTCCCAGGAGGAATGTAGTGAATTCGCAGACCTTCCATTTTAGTATTTTATAGACCATTCTTAAGCGCTTTTAGAGGTCCTTTGTCTATAGACATTCCATCATTAGAGTGTTGTATTCCATTCACAGTTTATTTCTTTAGCTTTCATACATATGTCACGTCTTTTACACATCTCACCCTACACCTTCTTTGAAAATATATAGCATGCGCGGAATATTTTCTCATCCCTGATGATGCCGTTGATCGGCGAAAGCTTGGATTTTACTTTTTTTACACAGCAGTTTAAGGCCTCACTAGAACAGTTTTATATTATCACTTATTTCTGAATGACTGGTAGTTAAGAAAAGTTCCTTAAAGTGTAAAGATAGCAATTAAACTTAACAGGTTTACAATTTTGAAGAACAACACTCTGAAACCTTTTGTTACTTCTCCATACGAATTTAACAGTTGTAGCATAGCAGCCATCATTATGAATGAATGAAATGTCGTAGATGGGAGACCAGTGATCTAGACTAGATGCACAACTGCTTAGGGATTAGTTAGGGGCAACGTCAAGGTAAACAAAGAGAAGGGTGTTACAGTGGGGCAGAAAAAGAAAGAAATGCCCTGAAGATAAACCTTAACAGATGAATGGTTCAAATCGTTGGCCAACATAGTGGGGGGAAGGTGCACAGCTATCTCTTCACAGGTTGGGGGAAGAAACCATCTTGGCCAAGACACCCGTCCTGATGGCAAAAATGGATATAGCAACGTAAGGCAGATGGATAGAACTGAGTAGTTGATGGTGCAAGTCTTCGCTTGAGGAGGAACTAGCACTTCCATGCCAAAACATCTTAATAGCCGACAGAGTGAAGATAGACTCGGGAATGGTGCTAATGATAGTCAATCCCGAGAACGGTTAAGCTAGTAACAGGTACCTCCATCTTGTCAAGCCCTTATAAACTTGAACACAGGTTTGGAGGTTGTTATGGCACACAGGGGAAAACGGGGGGCCCAGGGTAGGAGACTCATACAGATAGTGATGAAGGAAGTTGACCCCAAAGAGGAGCACCATTTCCTCGAAATAATGCCCACGCCACTTGCTCCCAAGGAAGGGACAATTCGTGAGGGTATATTGCTATTTTCCTGTAGGCATTAGCCAAGTCAAACTTAGCCATTAACAATCTAAGGCCACAGGCCATTTTGCCATAATGAATGCATCCACTGAAATATACTCAACAGTGAAAGGCAGGTTGAGGATCAGATCATTTATGCTGTGACTCTCTGGAAATGAGAGCTCCACGATGCCACTTACCATGCTGATTATTCTTGGAAATTCCTCCGAAATGGCTAATGGTGCAAAGAAGAAAGAGGTGGGGATAGGAAAGGATCAGCAACACTGTTAGCCAATGGCGAGACCTCCAAAACTGTGGTTAGAGGGAAGAATGTATCAACTAGAACACTACATAGAACGGGAACAGAAAACGAACTTGCTGCAAGTGGCAGTCCATGCTATTAGCAACAAAACCACGGTATTTAAACTATATGCAAAGCAAGCCCTTGGCACCTCATACCTTCCCCCTTATCCCACAAGGGAGGGACAACGGAAGTGGAAGCCGCTACAATAGGGAAAAGGGCAGTAAATCCTGGGGTGCTCTCTGTCACAGTTGCTGGATTCCTGGTGAGACATTTATCTACCAAACAGCCACCAGAATTGACCTTCATTCCATGAGGCGAAAAGGAAGAAGCACGCCAGGGTCTAAGCTGTCTGTGAAAGACAGAGAGGACCAGGGAGAAGTTGTCTGCACTGACCGAGAGCCTGGCACAGGCTATAGGAGAAGAGAATGGCAGAAGTAGCCAATAAAAAGGTGCTTGAGGTTGTAAAAGAAAATTGTACAAATCCAAATCAATTTTTTTACAAATTATAGAAATCAAAATCAAGTGGTTAAGGCCTGAGACAGCAACATCAATCCGAAATACAAGATGAAGCTCTAGCCTCACCGTACCACTAAACTGACAGGCAGACCAAATAATATAAAGCAGTCTGTACTTAATCAAATCTGACCAGTGTGCAGGTGTACCAATCAGAAGATCAGCTGCAAAATTGTGAAAGCACTTTACCTTCCAGGAAGATCTTAGGCTCCTGCTCCGATCCATGGATGTTGGCAGACAGCAGGTTGGCCACAAACTGACCATCTGTTATCTTATTGAAAAATCCCACAGCAACAGGCACGTGCAGTGAGAGGACTTATTAGCCTTTGGCCGCAAGGTAGAAGTCGCCAAACACAGCAACCAACTTACAACACTGAATAAAGTCGAGTTAATTGAAGACACTATGAAACAACGACATTAGTCGAAGCAGCCAATGATACAGCAGGGCTGAGTGGGACTGTGCCAACCGAAAAGCAGAACAAGTTGCCTGAGAGGAGGCGTTCCCCTAGCCTGAATTTCATCCCATTACCTCGAGTCGTTATTACTCCCTCAGTAACGTATGAATCAACCGGCCGTTAATGCCGTCCAGTGACGTCACTACTCCCTGACATTTGCTTTATTCATGCAAAAAGTAAAACACGATTTTCAAGTGGCAAACCGAGAAATATCGTTTGGAAATGTCTGCATGATACAGAATTGCTTAAATTTTTTCGATCGTAATACATGTTTAACGTTCAAACTATCAACTGCATGCAGTACAACACTGAACCGGTTGTATTGAATTCTATAATCAGTCGGTCGCAATCACGCAATGAAATAAACACACACACGAAACACTTAGTTCAAAAACACAATGATTTGCTTGAAAAAAAGCTATTTGGTCCTTAACGAAGAAAAAAACAAGGAAACAAGAAAGAAAAGCTAACAGAATCATTACATCTGGCGGTGAAAATAGCAAGAAGGTCGTCCTCTGAAAACCTCACGTAAACAAAATTACCGGCCGCCGAAACCACAAAGCAGCTCTAAATGAAAAACGTACCGACTCTCCGCAATGATTCTTCATTCACAGTTCAATTTAGCATTTCAGTTTCGAAGACAAGGGCAATTTTGCTATTTAAGATAAAGATTAAGCTTATCGAAATGTTTGAACTACACGAAAGGATGCCATGCCAGGGATGCGATCCACTGAATATCAAGCGACAATCCCGCTAAAATTTTTTATAATAAGACATAATTATGCGAATGTTTAGACAATCAACCAATCAAAATCACTACCCGGTTTTCGGGTAGTGAGTGACGTCACTGGACGGCATTAACGGCCAATCGAGTCAGACGTTGTTGAGAGGAGAAAACTCGAAGCAATCGGATGAATTTCAGGCTAGCGTTCGCCTTCATCTATGAAATTGATAAGCTCAACGTGCTCACCCTGTCAGATACCTGGCTAAACAGCTCCATAACCGACCTGGAACTCGAAATTCCAGGTTATGATGTCTATCAGGTCGATCGAAACACCAAGTCAGGCAGCGGTGTGGGTGCTTAGGTCCTACAAACCTACAAGGTCAAGATGATTGATGACCTATTTAACATCTCGGACAATGGTCCACATCAACTTTGGATGAATCTTCACGTCAGAAACCTCAAGTCAATTATAGTCTGTACAATATATGGGCCACTTGTTAGTCTGCTAACCTCCTTTGATACTGACCTATCAAACTCCAAGCTTGGGTTCTGCCTCTTTACTAAACAAAGCAATTTATATACTCGGGGACGGAAAGTGCAACATACTTGAGCCAGATTGCAGAGAAGCCATCGCCTTGGCTAATTTTTGTAATTGCTTCAATTTATCCGAGCTGGTTTTGCGACCAACTCGAGTAACTAAAACTACTATGTGATTATAACATCAGACCCTCAACAAGTTATTGAAACTGGTGTTATGCCAAGCTCGATAAGTGATCATGATCTGCCCTATGTGGTTCTTCGGTTAAAGAGGGAATGTCCTAGATCAACCTACATGACTGCGAGAAGTTTCAAGGGATACAAAGCCGATTGGTTCTACAAAGATCTGTCGAACATTCCTTGGTCCTTCTTAGATATTTTCGAGGATGTAGAGGACAAACTGTATGCTTTTAATATATTATTTAATGATATATTGGATGAACATGCACCGATCAAAAGGATTAAAATACACGGTTGCCCCAATCCTTATGTTACTGAGGAAATTCGAGCCCTTATGCGAACAAGAGATCAGTGGAAGAAAAGAGCCAAGAAAAGCCAAGATCCATATGCCTGGTCGCAACATAAGACCTGTTGCTGAAGGTAAAGTGAGAAATTCGGCCGGCAGAGAGAGAACATGTAAAGCAGCAAATCTAGAACAATAAAAACAATACAAATTGCATATGGAAATCAATCCATGCATACCTGAGAAGTCAACTACCCAGAGAAACTACAGTAAAGATCATAAAAGCATGGCTAATGACTTTAATCATTTCTTCGCAAGTGTGGGCGAAAACACCATCCAAAAAATAACATTGAACTTTATATTGCCAGGAAAAGAGGCACATCAAATCAAAACGTTTCATTGAGGCCATGGTTAAAGTCGTAAGGGGTATCATGGAGAAGGCTGAAGAGTTGGGTTCTGATCCACATCTTGCAATGCTCATTTGTCGTGTGACCCCAATCAGACCAGGTCAGCTCAGCCCTGGAGAGAGATGCTCACCCAGTAGAAATATAGAGCACTTCTAACTATCCGTCAATATCTGCATCCCAATCTAGGGATCGACCGGGATCAGTAGGGAATAGTGGATAGCACAGAAACAAGCCCAATGCTGACCACTACGATGACACAGCTAAGCAACTTTGAGATATACTCCATTTATATTTCACAAACGTCGGTATTTCAGAACTCATACAGTGATTGAGAACCAACCACAAGAATTAAACCAGGCCCCAGTCATTCCTAGAACATTAACAAAGCCACCAAGGCCTGACCAGTCAAGCATCAATGAGCTCAACAACAGCTGATGTAGCCAAGCAGGCACCACCAAAGCCATTGCTAAAACAGTGTGCCGGAAAAAGCTCCGGTTGGCATTGCATTGTCTTACCCACAACGAGCTATTAGACCACCTATGCAGCTCATTGAGCAAATTTAGAGACACTACAACAAGATAACAGTTCTTAATATCATTAGTATTTCTTTTGTGTGTGTGCGTAAGGCAAGCTTTTGAATCAAGGACACCTTAACAGCTTTTCAACGTTTATTTTGCACATACCAACTTTACAGAACTCGGGTGCGAGAGTTGTGTGCCAAGTTTTCTAGTCATTGATGTCACCATCTTAAAAGAGGGAAGATGTTGCAATACGATATTGCATATTTATAAGCATGCAAACTATTTGTATTGTTCATATTTAAATTAGCTGTTCATGTAGTTCGCGCTAAGAAGAATAATTATTCATAGTTAAGCCTAACTCACCGGTTCAACTTGGAAGTGAAAGTGTAAAGTACAAGAGGAAACAGTGGCACTGACAGTTCAAATACTTTGACTGAGCTAGGGTTGAACACCCCATTAGAACATGCCAGAGAGACTCTGCAGCTTTTTCACATGTCCTACATGTTACATCCCCCTGGGTGCTTACCGTCTAAATGAAGTATGCACTGCTGTATACAAGCTGTAACATGGTTGACATCAAAAGAAGACTAGAGGAAAGAGGACCAGACCAAATTACCGACACCCTGTGCAGATAGACCTTTGCCGCAAGGTCAGGGGTGAACATTTCATCCCACAACACAGTCTAACATACTCCTAGAAACTTAAGGCTAGACTCTGCCTTCAAAATTTCAACAACCACAATTTGATCCAGCCTGAAATCTGCTGGCTCATTCTCTTGTGACCCTTTTTTGACATGCATTGCATTTGTTGGGATTCCAGTGTAACCCCATGTCCCGCATCGCAGAGTTGGTAGATCTTACAACTGTGTTTAGCTTGGCCACAGACTAAGCATAAAGTGTTAGAGCATCAATCTTGGTGCCTATGGGCCTGGATAACCTATACCCCTCCACTGCACACAGAGACCAGGCAACTGGATTTAAGACAGTATAAAGAGACCAGGGCAAAGGGCGTCATCATGGTGTAAAGTTGATCAGCTGTGGTAAGCAGTCTCCAGAGGTGGGCAAATCTCCACCTTACATTCATCATTACTATACACAATGCAAGCTGCAATGTCACCATCTGGATAATTTATTGGAACTGTAAAACAAACTATATCTTGCTCTAACGTCAGGAACATATCTGCTAATACTGTAGCTGATGGCTTCCACCAAAAATAACTTAACAATAGGCGAGTTTCGTATTCCTGGGCAGCCTAGGACGAGCACTTGTTTTTGCGTGAAAACGAGGCTAATGCGGGTCACTTCTCACCAGGAAGACAAACAAACATGAAAACTTTGGCCCAAAAAAAGGACAATTTGAAACGTTAAGAGGTTTTGGAGCTCTCAAAACTTACTTACAGCAAAAAGAAATCATTGTTTCAAACAGCAAAAGGAAAATCAGCTCGTCATCACGAAGAAAAACTATACAACGAGCATAACCAGAAATTGACCAAAATATGGGTCGGTGAGTGAGTTCAACAAGAATGCGAAGATGGTTTCAAAATCCTTAAACAAGGTTATACCCTGAAGCCATTTTAATGTTTTTTCCAGTGATGGTTAAAACCTCGTTAAGCCATACTTTCCATTGGAGTGTACGTACTTGTCGAAAGCTTGCAAGTTAAAATTAAATCTTCTATATAATTGACATTTTTTCTAACGGACTGAATGCAAAAGCTTGTGTATTTGAAAAAAATAAACTGACGGGGCAGACGTTGTACATAAACTCCTTGCACTGTAAGGAAGTTTAATCTGTTTAAACGCACACGATTAAAGCTGTATTAGTTTATTTATACATAAGCTTACATTTAGCTTACATTAATTATCAAAATATTCTCTCACATAAAGAAAAACATACGCACATTTCACTCGACAAGAACTCAAACAGAATTTTATACAGAAGATATACTGAGCAGTTTACACTCCATTTTACAGATAAAAACAAGAGTAAAATAGAATACCAAGAGGTAGAATAATTAAAGGGAATAAAATATTGTCATTTTAAGAATTTCAAGCTTAAAAAGTTTACATCTTCTTTTGGCTTCGACGCTTTTTTCTTTCTCCTATTAAGTACGATCAGCCTTTCCCAGAATTTTGTTGTTTGCAACAGATATCCCTTTGGCTTACTGGTAAAGTTTAAGCTTTGAAATCTTACTGTTTTTAAGATTTCTATCGTTTTCCAGCGACTCCGCGGCAAATTACCTATGTTTGTTTTTGTTTTTGTAAAGAAGTTTACCCGCATTAGCCTCGCAATCGTGCTCGTCCCAGTACCGTCGGGGAATACGAAACTTGCCTACTATTTCGGTCCTTTTTTACCGAAGCATAATTTGCACTTACGAAATTGCAAAATGTCATATCTATAAACCACTTGTATACCTAAAATTGTCTTAGCAAGGTACAGTAAATATTATTTTTAAGAGAGTACCACTTACGCGTGTGTTTTAAAGACGTCCCTACGGACAGAAAGTCGTCAACTTTTGTTCATTCATGGCCAAACCCAGAATTTTCAGATAATCCCAAATAATGCCAGTTAGGAAGGTTGTGCAACTAAGAGGAGTTGTGTCACGAAATTTATCAAAATTCAGACGGTGGCAACTGCCACCAAATTGACGGAAACAAAAATAACTGTTCAGAACATGAAAAGATGGTATAATTAACACAGTGGATTCAAAAGAGACACGGATGGATAAACTTGACGAAGATTTAAACGGATTGCAATTGTGGTTCACTTTTGTTGTTTGCAACGCTTGATGTGGTTTTGTATAATGCTTGGGAGACATTTGTTTAACAAGAAGCTGCAGTTTTGTCATTCACAAGTAATTTCTCAAGTTCCATAGCAAACAAGGAGGCACAGTTGGCATTATTAGCAAAATAAATTAGGCAGTCGTGACACAGCCCCTTTTAAAGCAGATGAGACGGAATCCATTAGGAAATTGAGTAATTATTGAGCATATTGCATCCTTTTTTACACTTTTCGAAGCTATAAATATAATAAATTATATGAAATAACTCCAAAGAAAAGGATCTTGTGGGAGCCCGAGAAAAGAAACTTCAAAAGCTTCAAATTTCAGAAAATGAAATCTTACGCATGACGATTTTACCCATGTTTTCTCAATTCCTGTGAATTTGAAATTTATTTTTTCGTGCTCCCATTAGAAATTGTCTTTGGTGTTATTACTGATAACTAAGTACCTCTATAACCCTTGAAAAGTGTAAAAAAGAATGCGTTATGGCTTAAAATATTCTGGTACAAGGTTTTAGCCACTAAAACTTTGGATTACTCAATTTCCCGATGGATTTCGTGTTAATTTAAAAATTCAAAAAAGATATTTTTCCCTTTTGCTAAATATCACTGTACCCTCTATTCAATGTTCAGATAAAGAAGAACAGTTACAAGCGCAAACACTGGTTTTGTTCAACTTCGGGCCAGGGGGAGGGGGAAAGAAGGGGCAAAATGAAGAAGCCTTCAAAAAAAGTTTGACTACGATTGTAGATACCTTTTGCTCCCCCTTGGAAATTACACATCCATAAATTTCAAGCTAAGGAATGACTCATGAGCATACGTACCATAGAAAGACAATCAGAACTGTTTTGAACTGTAAATTTTGCTTTTTATCTTCTGACCCACGCGCAAAGAATCAATGCCCTGATTGATTTGGCTTAATTGCATTCATTCCAGCTTTACGATTTATCATTCAATTACGTATAAAACTCATCCTTACATATCTTAGTTATTAGCTAAATTGGTATAAACAATGTTTTCAAATGACAGTAAAGTACATTTCACCTTTAAGAGTTGCATTATTTCTAACTTCAAAAAGACAATATAATGTAACATTTTACATCAGAAAACAATTTAAGAAACAAATACCTCTATCTTCTTCAACAAAGCAAAAGGAAATACAAATTCCACAAGGAAGCCTGCACCCTCCTTATATGGTACTGAAAGTGAAGTAAGATCAATCATGTAAGTTACTAAGTTTATTTTGATAGCGTCACAGAAACAAGATAAAGCTTTTTAAAAGGCGCCCTTCCCTCTTGGTCTTAAAAAAACTCATTTTTTCCTGAGGTGCATCTTGTGAGTGTCAATGATATCTAAGAGTCTTGCCATATGTTTTCGAAGTCTACTACCACTACCTGCTGCGCTTCCTACTCCTACTCCTGCTCCTCCTCAGACAGCTCCAGGATTCACTACCAGCTGCTCCTTGTCTGTCGTATGTATTGCCCAGGGAGCTCTTTCTCTAACCAATCCTTTATGGCCAGGGAGAATATGTCGCTGAAAAAATTTCCGTGGGATTTTTGTGATGATTTCAAGCAACCAGTGTACAAGTGTTAAGAGGGACCTAAGGAACATGTTTAATGTTGTCGGCACCTCTGTAATTCCTGCAGGAGGTATTTAAGGGGCACTGAAAAATTGCCTATTGAGCTTTACATGAAAACGAGGCTAAAGTTTGGAAATGATTAAAAAACGGCTGTTCAATCACGCTCTTTTCTGTAAATGTAAAAGTAATATTTCGTAAGATATCTAGGAATGTTTAATAACCGCTAGTGCATTGGTAAAAGTTAAAAATCCAAATTTGTAGTTCAAAAGAAGCCAGTTGCCTTAGATGAAAATAAGATTCCTTGAAATATCAATGTGGGAGAACAAGTAATTTGTCCTGCAACAAAGGTGGACATTCTTCGCTTTTTTCCCAACACTTAAAAGTTCAGGTACAAACTAGACTGCTTTTATAATAAAATAAGAAATTCCATTTTCAAACTATGACAGTTATATAGGCTATTTTTTTGGCTTCATTGCACGTGCTAACGCATATTCCAGTTTTCTGGTTTGGTGTTGTATGTTGCCACATGAACATTTGGGATACATATTGCCGTTAAGTCTTTTACCCAAACTAAATGTCGAGTTCTACAGAAACTGGAGAGACCAAAGACCTCAATTTATATTTTTGTGTATTATTTGTGGCCAAACCTAAGCCAAATGAACGACTTGTAGAGAAACCGACTTCTCATGACAGAGTATTTACGTGCACACAAGAATGGCCGTCTTAAGCCCATTTAGAATATTTCGAAAGCTGGTTAAAATTAAAAACGTTTACAGCTCAAAAGCTTAAGGGTAAAGGAGTATCGTGGCACAGACAGTGTTCAGGTGGTGTAAGGACGCCATCCATAGGGTCCTATATCGCAATCGCTCACAGATTTTCGAGCCAAAGAGAGACTGCTCACGATCTATACGAGAATGCTTATGCAAGCAAGAGAACGGTACGCAAGAGAGTTGGCTGGACCTAATGAAACAAGAAGGAAGATTTCAAACGTGGCGCCAGAGGAAATACTGCCGCAGCTGATGAGATTTAAAACATCACCATTTAACATAGGTTGGTGCTTCTTTTGTGACGGCAGTGAGTCTCGCAGGAAGGCCCTTTTACTTCTGCTACCCAGTCCTTACATACAGAGTTTTCAGCAATGACAGAGATCAACTTAAGAAAAGGTATGATATTGACTATGTCCGACTTACGAGCAGCATATTTATGGGAGAGTTTATTGAAGCAAACAATGTCCATGAGGATGCATGGAAGCGAAAAGCACGAAAACCATTGACTCAAATTTTGATACCTGAAGTGGAATTTCACTGACCACCAAAAGCTAACAAATCAGACCGACTAAGCGTTAAGAAGACACGGGATACCACCATTCATCTAGTAGAAAAGAAAAATAGTGACGATTCAAAAAAAATGAATGTATTCTTTGAAGCTGCACCCTTGTTACAGTAGGCAATCAATAGCTGCACAAAATGGGTGTTTTCAGTGATTGGCCAGTTTGAGTTTTCTGTCAGTTCCGAGGTCTTTGTTCGAACCCGATGTTAAGATGCTTCACTATTTCGCAGAGCGCTTTGATGACAATTCTTGAAAAGTTAATCGCTTGGTGGTGTATCAGAGCAAAGAGCGACCACTGGTCCTCAGGTAAGTGCGAATGAAAGATTAAATATGGAAGCCTCATCTCAGCTGCGAGTTGCTCTTGTTGACGCCAAAAATTGGCAGAACGTCAATCTCTCTGCAAGGCGGTCGATATCAAAGACTGTTCGCAATGAGCTGAGCCCTTTACTGCAGAATCATCCATAAGTACAAGTCCAACGATGAGGTCTGTCTGATTTTCGATAGATATGACTAGCCAATGTGTCTGAAAACAACTACCTGAGTAAACGGGCAGGCTGGTCAAGATCGCGTTTATTAACGTAGTAGTAATTTCAAGATGTTGTTACACGCTCTGGACGCAACTGCCAACGGTGCAATGGAGCTTTATATCTATTCTGATCTCCAAACAAAGATGTTACTTGTGCCTCTAAGGCGCTATCCGGAGCTGTGTGTGAAGAAATCGTTTGTCTTTGCTACGGTTGATAACCATTGTGTGGTTGGTCTTAGTCCAATAGCTAGTGCCCTCGGTAGTGTTAAACTTGCCGCATTACCAGCGTTCCACGCTGATATCACCGAGCGTTTTTCTGTTAAAGGGAAAATTTTATGCTGGAAAACGTTCATGAACACAGAAGATACCATAACTCCTTTGGGAAGCCTTCACGAGCCACAGTGCATCCCCTGAGACGAGATATTGGTCCTTATAAGCCAGCTTTATCAGCCTGGAACCGGTATCTCACAAGTCAAGGAACTAACATGGTAACATGTATGTTCAGAAAAAAATCAGGCGAATCGGATAGGCTTCCACCAAATGAAGGGTCATTTTATGAAGCAATTCTCCGCGCCCACTATCAAAATGATAGTTTGGAACAATGATAAAGTGTGCTGTCCTAGTTTGTTATAGCCAGATGGATTCGATGGGAGAAAAGGTAGGATAAATGGATCCCCGTTATGACAAAAGAAGCACCTGCTCCTGAAGAAATCGTCCAATTGCTCAAGTGCAGCAGTGAAAGAACTGATGCTCACACAATCGATGCCACCGCCGGAAATCAGGCTTGAATTACAGCTACCTCTGTTCTGGCTGTGACGGTAATGATCCCTGTGAAAATGCAAGTGAAGATACTAATACACTAAAAATTGAGGAGGAGGACCCTAACAGTGAGGTGTAGAAAGATTAGAGAGTCGAAATTTGTTGAAAAATATGGATTTCAATTTGTCAATGTGAAAAGGTATTAATGTTAGTACTCTTTAAGGGTCACATTGTATTAAGGCTCTACTTCGGGTCACGTGACCACCCAAAAGTGTCGCCATCAACTACTTATTACGTAAGACATCCCAGAATATCGAAACTGATTGTAGTTTGTTCCAAAATTCCAATAAACGGCCATTTTTCAGTCGTTTTATTGTTCAGCCTCGTTCTCATGCAGGGGAGAACAGCGCTCTTTTTTTAAAGCCTTCTAAAAATCCTCTGCACGCAATACAAAAGTGCCGACAACATTAAACATGTTCCTCAGGTCCCCCTTAACAGTTCTGCACTGGTCGCTTGAAATCATCACGAAAATCCCACAGGACTACCATTGCTCCTAGACTATTACTCTTTCCTCACGCTTTCTTCTCTTGTAGTCATCAGGGTGTTCCACTTCACTGCAGTTTCTCCTTTTCCATGCAGGCTTTAGTAGTCTTTCTTCACTCTGACTCAGATAGTCGACAAGGCAAAGTTCCTCCAGCTTTACACAATCCTCCACGCTGATCAGCCCTCATCCCCCTTCCATATGACTGGAGAACACCATGTTTACTAAGCAATTTTCTCGTCTTTTGATCAACATTCATTAACCCAGCCTTAGCCCAGTTGTAATAATAATAATAATAATAATAATAATAATAATAATTATTATTATTATCATTATCATTATTAGGGACTTGAACAAGCACTACAGAAGCATCTAGTGAGGAGACCGGAAGTGATTTTTGCAGCCAGGTGTCAATGCGTCAGTTGAGGGTTTAAATACAGCAAACGTCAGATTCAAGTTGCAGAAAATAAGCAGATAAAAACAGCTCAAAACAATTCTTATGGATAAAACATTGCATGAAACTACTAATTTAGGTTTAGAAATAATTTACAATAACAGGCAAGTAAATAGGAAAAATGGTCAAGTGGTACAAATTCCCATTCCAACACGATTTCTTTCGATCTTTATCGCGTTTATGCAAATTCACTTAATTTGTCAGATGTAGGTGAAATCTCTTGACGATGAATTCCTAGGAACCATAACCAAGTTCAGAAAGAAAAAATAATGTAATCGTCGCTTGTTTGCATCCTTAATAACAGGTGGAATAATGCATTTTCTTGTCGAATTCATGCAGTGACGGGTAAAACATGTTGCAAAGTAGTGTGATGCAAGTGCAAAATTGTTGTGTTTCTAATAAAATCCTTTTTCTAGCCATACTACTGGGTGTTTCAAAAGTTCGTTCCGATTATATATTTTATTTTGCGCTAAGCATTAAGGCTTCTTCAGGCAAATGTACACTGATTCAGGTAAGAAATTTATCGAAATAACCTTTCAAAGCAATTTCAAACTAAAGTTTGAAGAAATTATAGTATTTTTCAAGTTTTGCCCCAGATTTGCACGTACGCGAGTTTTTTGCCGCCATATTTTTCCTGCCTATTTTGTAGGGTTTTTTAATTCGTTTTTTTTTGCGGCCTTCTTTTATTTTCTCTACTACTTCACGAAAACGAAGGCCTACACTATTTGTGCTATAGAGCTCTAGAGCTCAGGCATCTGTTTTTACGGTCTTCTGGCCATTCAATCAAAGAAATTGATAAACTGTTGAAGAAGTCTGAACTATTTAAGTGAACAAGTGATCAAAAGTAAAGACTTTAGAAGACAAACCAAGGAGTGGATAGCCGTTGTTTTTTATATGTGCGAGAAATGTTATCGAAAAAGCTGTAAGTATATGCGTAATAATTCTACAAGACAGAAAGGAAAAAAAATCAACTTTACAATATGAAAGTTTCGAGTACAACAGTATGAAGATATATGACCAACAATGGTTGGAAAGCCTTGAAGAGAAAAAAGCGGCGTACATGCGGACATGGTGTCAAACGGATTTGCAAACTTTATAGCAAAGGGCAACGGGCTGGCAAACTCACGTGATGTGAACCCTCTAGAGACAATCTGGATTATCGTTGACAAGACAACATACAAAGATCCAGCCCCCAAAACACTGGACGAGCTGAGAGAGTGACTACGCTTCGTGTGGAAAAATGTTTCTTTAGACACACTTTGGGAGCTGGTACATTCTATACCTCACCACCTAGAAAATGTCAGAAAACATAAAGGAAGACATTTTGGTTACTAATATTTCAGATATTCAATGTTAAATGAATAATAAAAAACATACTTAAGTTTTACAGACTGTATTTTTAATAATCAGTGAAATTCAAGCAAAGAAAAAATCGGAACGAACTTTTGAAACACCCTGTACACTTCCTATGAATACGTTGGAGACCTTGATGGGCCGTAATATGAGGGACGTAAGTATTTTCTTGTATTTTACCTGCTAAGAACGCCAGTATTTGAAACAGAATTGCAAGATATATACATTATATCCTTTCTCAGCGTGCTTGGCCATTTCTCAAAGCTTATTTTTCGATGTTGAGCACCAAATTCGGTGGGTGGCATGAAAGCCCAACAACTTGATTCTGTGGATTGTATGTGTATTAAAAGTAGGCTCGATTAGCTCTTACAATTCATAGCATGTCTTTCCGCATTTTCGACTCATATTGAATTCATATTTCAAAATGTGTGCAAAAAAAACTGTACAGTGTATAAGAAAGTCAAGAATGAAAAGTAGGGATCAATGTTTAAGTGTGATATTAATATTTTTGGTTTTTTAGGGGCATGGAATGGAGCAGTAAAAATGATACAACGCAAAGTATTTGCAAAAGATAAAAGAAGACAAAACTACAGTCAAACCCTTTACGGACACCCACTCAATAGGGACACCCCATTATTACGGACAGTTTTCTTTGTCCCTAGGGAATGCCCATACACTTCCTCTAAATTCAACCTGCTTAAAGGAACTATGTCAGCTCAGGCGCATGCATGGATGGTGGAAAACGACTTTAAAAGGTTGGCCCAACGGTTTCAAGTTCTGTTGGGGACTTTGGAAGGCTGTTTTTTTACCTGTTTAAATTTTAGCCAAGGTTGGATAGTGCAGTTTTGCATTAAGAATCGTTCTATGGTGATTACAGAAGACTTTTTTTTGCATTATTTTTGAAATTCATTGCATTTTGAATTTTTTTACATGGATTTACAGTGTCCTCTTATCGGCGGCTGTTGTACTGGCTGCGGCCGAATGAGAAATGACTGCTACTCCACAATGAGTGATGGAATCTTAGGTAGAATCTTTCCTCATAGTTCACAGAACCTTTCTGTTGACTTGTTTTAGATGCTGTTGGCTCTCGGATATTTTTTTGTGCTCAAAGTCAGCTTTTGAGTTGGTGGTGGCTGTTTAATTAACCAGCACTCATCCACTTCACCTTATCCGGGCTACTCACTGCATCTTTAACAGTGGTTGGCTCAGTTATCTCACCATTTGTGACACTTGCCCAGTCTCCATAGTAATCAGGTGCTTTCTTCTCCCGGTTTGATCTTCGCACCACTGGTTCTGCTCCCTCTTCAGTTGTGTGTTCTTTATCAGCTACATGTTTCTCATCATTG